TTCTTGGGATTCCCTGGCCTGCCTTTAGTGGCTATGAACGCCCTGGACGATGCGTCCACAGTCCTTTGGCCTGGAGGGCCCCCTGGCTCCGGCTCTGGCTCTGGAGGGGCAGCGGGGGCTGCCGCGTCATAGGCGGCCCTGGGGAACAACAAACACATAACAACATCATGAACATTCCAGCCCCGCCAGGGTCGCCGATGATTGGTCTTGCTCTGCACGGCCGCTTTTGGCTCGAGGTGTACAGCGTGGCAGTTCTCACGAGTACATTGCACTTCTCGCGGTCAAAGTGCACCATGCCGCCGAAGCGGTACTACGAAGCAATGCCAGTGCGCTTGAATCGCCAGAGGTTCAAAAAAGTGTTCCGTGAGCTCGTGGTGACGAGGTGGAAGCTGCGCCTCCTCAGGCGCCGCGTCAAACGGGCGCGTGCGTTCATTGCCCACACGGCGCGTGCTTGCGACAGGATGATGAGTAGCGACAACACGATGAACGATAATCACCTGCTTATTCTCAATCAGGTACGGGCGGATAATTCTTCAGATGAGTCAGATGCTGAGTGAGCCTCTTGAGCAGGCAGTCACCACTGTTTTGTCTAATGTGCCTCTGCTCTCTAGTCTCTGTTCCTATTCCTCTCATTAACATAGATACAGACAAACATAACTACAAGTATCCAGGCCCCTCCTCCTCCTGCCCCGCCTCTCCGTGCAGCTGCGTGGCGATCAGCCTTTGGCGAGCGGCGAGGGCCGAGTGCCGAGCTCAAGAGATAGGACAGACCCAGAGCACACTGGCACTGCCCAGAGTCCTACTGGGGCCACGCGCAAACATCCGTCGGAACCGCCCTTCATCATTCTTCCCCGTCGGAGACCTGTTGTGCCATGCATGATATATCGACGGATGCCTTTCGGCAGCTTCGTCAACAGTCAGATCAGATCGCAGATGCCTCTCGGCATTCGTTCCGCCGCTGGCCTTGCGTCACAGGCAGCATTGGAGCGTATTGGAGCCGTCTGGGGCCCCCTTGGATTTGGGACGGCGTCTCATGCGACCACTTGCCTCTTGGAGCCGTCGTGTGGGCCTCTTGGAGTCTTCTGGCTCCCTCCTCCTCCTCCACCTCCGCCTCCTTCTCCCCCTCCTCCTGCTCCTCCTCCTCCTCCTCCTCTTCCTGATCCCCCTCCTCCTCCTCCTCCTCCTCCTCCTGCTCATCTTCCCCCCCCCCCCCCTCCTCGTCCTTATCTTCCTCCTCCTCCTCTTGTTCTGGATCCCCCTCCTCCTGCTCCTCTTCCTCCTGCTCCTCCTGCTCCTGCTCCTCATCATTCGCCTACTCCTCCTCCTCCTCCTCCTTCTCCTCCTGAACATCCTCTTCGTCCTCATCCTCCTCCTCGCCCTCCTCCTCCTCCTCCTCCTCCGCGTCCTCCTCCTCCTGCTTATCCTCATTCTCCTTCTCCTCCTCCTCATCCTCCTGAACTAATGCCTGCCCGCATTTGGACCGCAGCCTGCGTGCTACCGCAGTGCCACCTAACAATGAAACGTCACTGCCGTCGCCGCCAACGCCCAAACATGTGGCACTGGCTCGTTCATCGTTAACCTTGCCATGCGCCAGTACATCCTCATCCTAACCATCTTCGTGCCGCCCCCGTCGTGGCACCTCCCTCTTGGCGCGAACCCTCGCCATGGACACCCCCTTTGCAAGTGCTCGCCAACCCAGATGTATCATCGCGTGCATCGGCATCCTCCCCCAGAACAGTGGCATCTGGCAATTTGCCCCATGCCAAACACCTGACGTCCACCCACGATCCGCGCGAGTGGAGCCTGCGCCTACCTGCCCCCTGCCGCCGCGCCGCCCCCCCACCCGCGCGTGGTGGCTGCACTTCTGCACACTCATTGGGGGTGTCGAACATGCGCGGGCCACTTCCGGCAGCATGCTGGGCAGCCTGAACGATGTTTTTTTGCACCCTGGGGAGTGCAAAAAGCATCGTTCAGGCTGCCAAACAGGTTGCCCGACGGGCAGCGCGGGGGCGCCCCCCCTGCCCCCCCCCCCCATGTCGCCACCACCGCCACCGCCACTACCACCACCGCACACACGCACGCGTAAACCTTTTGGAGAGAAACATCAGTACGAGAAGCCAACACATCAGCTTAGACCCGTGCCAAGAACGAGAGGGCCCCCCCTCGCTGAGGCCGTCGCGATGCACCCCGTGCGCTATGGCCAGCGCGCGAATTCTTATCTTTGTGGGCAGGGAATCACAAGCAGTGAACCTGAACAAACCTGAAGAAACCTGAACAAACCTGAACGGCCTGAACAAACCTGAATATTCAGGTTTGCCCCTGAATAACCTAAATGGAACCTGAATACACCTGAATAAACCTGAACAAACCTGAATGGAACCTGGATGTACCTGAACGAACCTGAATGAACCTGAATAAACCTGAGCAAACCTGAATATGACCTGAATAAACCTGAATTTCGCCTGAATAGTGCCTGAACAAACCTGAATATTCAGGGATTTGATCAGTGCGCAAGTAGAAGGAATGCATATGTACGAGCGCAAGTACATCAACATAGACACATCGTGCTGGAATTGTTCCAATAATACATCGCGCCATCGCTTGACACTTGGTCTGAAACGAAAGCCAGCGCGGAGCCCCCCCCCCCCAACTTTACTACCACACACGCACGCAACCACCACCACCAAGCACACGCGCGCACGCACGTGGACGCACACACACACACACACACGCGCTCTCTCTCTCTCTCTCTCTCTCTCTCTCTCTCTCTCTCTCTCTCTCTCTCTCTCTCTCTCTCTCAACATACACCACGCACCACACACGCACAAACACACACACACACACGCACACACACACACACACACACACACGTCACATCACACACACATACAGTCACATACACCACACCACCACCACCACCGCCACCACCACCACCACCACCCATACATCATGCGCACCTAGATACACGCGCGCACACACGCTCCCTCCCCTGCCTCCATCCACGTCTCTCCCCCCCCCCCCCCCCCCCCGCCCCCCCCACCCACCCCCCCGCCCCACCCCGCGCGCGCGCGCGCATCGAGACCCCCGTCGCCCTGCTCGCCATCCGCCGTATTTCCCCATCCGCCCCCCCCCCCCGCGTCTGCCTCCCCCGCAACCGCCCGCGCGCACTCCCCCCCCCCCCCCCCCCCCCCCCCCCCCCCACCCACTCCACAACTGCCCCGCACACATGTACACGCACACGCACACCCCCACCAAACCACACGGACACGCACACAAACACGCACACACGCACGCCCACCCCCTCGCGCACCCCCGCCACCTCCCACCGCACTGCACACGCACGCGCACACACACATCACCACGACACCACCACCACCACCACCACCACCACCGCTCCCACGCACGCCTTCGCACACATAAACACAAACCCTCCTGCTCCTCCTCCGCTTCCTCTTCTTCCGTAGTCCAGCCATCCATCCGTGCCAAACCCACTTCATCAACACCATCATCATCATCGTACTCCCCCCTCTCATCACCAGCATCTCCGTCATGCTCCCTTCCCCCCCTGCGCCACCAGCACGACCGCACTGTGCAACGTGCAGACGCGCTCCCCGAAGCCACCACCGCCACCACCACCGCCACCGCGCACACACGCACAACACCACACAAACACACACACACACACGAACACCACCACCACCACCCACCACCACCGCCACCATCACCACTTCCACCACCACCACCACCCACCACCCACCACCCCCTACCCCCACCACCACCACCACCTACCATCACCACTGCCACACTTGTAGACGCAGTGGCGAAACATTGGAACAGTAGGGCCCAAATGCGCGATACCGAGCGTTGTCCCTCGAACTCCTCTCGTGGCCAGAGAGGAAGCACGAGGGGCAGCATTCGGTATCGCGCATTTGGGTCCTACCGAAGTCAGGGCCACCATCGCTATCACCGTGCCATCATCGAGTGGCAGCTTCTTTCGCAAAGCCACCGCGAACTCACGATGCACCTCCTCCTCGTCGCCTTTAGCAAACTCTCCATCGCCATCCTCGCTGTCGTCGTCGTCCTCATCCCCATCCGCCTCCTCCTCCTCCTCCTCCTCGTCGCCGCCCCCAACGCCCCCGTCCCTAGTCTTCCCCCACCGCTCCTGATCCAACATCAGCAGCAGCAGCCCGGATCCCATCTTCCTTCCCCACCCCTCCTCCTTTCCACTCAACGTTCACGCGCGCGCATGCACGCACGCACAAAAGTTTTTAGGTGCCTCAGTTGTGTCTGCGTATGGGTCCAGTGCGGGCATGTGCAATAGGATGTATCACAACGCCGCGTGCTATAGTGGTGCCAAAGGGCGGTCCCGAGTCTGTTAGCCAAGTTGCCCCCCCCCCCTGGTACGAGCGCGCGAGCGTATGATCCAAGTTGGCGGTCCCGAGTCTGTTAGCCAACGCCGCGTGCGAGCGTGTGATCCAAGTTGGCGGTCCAGAGTCTGTTAGCCCAAGTTGCCCCCCCCCCCTCTCCAGTTTTTGAGCTGGCGGGCCCGAGTTGTTGGTCCAAGTTGGCGGGCCCCAGGGCCCGAGTTGCCCGTCCGAGTTGTCGAAACTGCCTGTGTTTCTTTGTTGTGTATGTTGCCGTGGCGGGGCCGAAGAACGAGGGGGGCATGCGATGTTCGTTCAAGGCTTCGAGCGATTCCACCGTCCAGGCCATTTTGGCTGAAGCCCATTTGGGCGAGCCCATCCGCGGGCCCCCTGGCCTCCTTCCCCCCGCGGCCCGCGGGGATCCAGGCAGACGCCGCTGTGCCCAGCGGCGCCATGACGGCGAGGAAGCGCGCCGCGCAGCAGCCTGCGGCAGGGGCGCCGAGGAGCAAGGGGGCCAAGGGGGCTCGCCACGAGGAGGAGGAGCACGGTGACGACGAAGGGCTCCCAGCACTGGGCGCTGGGTGTCAGGGCCGCATCTTGCGACGCGTGTGGCCAGAACACTCACGCCTTTGACAGGCGCTGCCAGAAGTCGTACCTCTGGTGGCCCAAGACGGAGAAGGTGAAGAACGGCCAGAAGGTCCCCATTGGCAAGGAGTGCGGCTTCTGCAACTACGTGCGGAAGAAGTATTACCCAACAGGTACCTCCCAGGCCGACGTCAACGAGGCCAAGTCGACGGCCGAGGGGGGAGCCCGCCGCGAGATGCTCAGGGAGGACAGGGCGTCGGGCGCCAACAAGATGCAGGCCAAGGAGGCGGCGAACATCAAAGCCGCGACAGTTACTGGACAGAGAGCCTTCGATGAAGCGTTCGCTGAAGGCACATTCGAACCGTTGCGGTCGTTCGCCAGCGATCGCAACCTGGATTTCGACTCGGAGGAGGAGCTCGTGCACTACATCGCGCATTCCTTGGGCTTCCAGTGCGGGCCAGGCAAGTACGGCGACTACGGCGTCTTCGTCGCGGAGGGCCCGAAGGCGGGGGCGGGGGGATACAAGCAGACCAGCAGCGACCCACTCGATGACATCATCATTTTATTTTGTCAGTTTCAGCTCTGAGTCTCTGAGCGGGTTTGCTGCATGGTTCGGCTTCCTTATGCCCCCTCCCCCGCCCCGAAAGGGCAGCTACCGGTTTCGCCGTGGCCTGGCGGATCTCAGCGAGATCCACAAGAAGGAGAGCCATGAGAACGGGGAGGACGCGGAGGAGCAGCACGCTGAGAACTCCAAGAAGATCGTCGGTGACTTTCGGACGGCCAGGCTGATGGGCACGAAGACAGGGGGCATCTTGTCCAGCTCCTCAGATCTGTCGTCACGCGGAAGCCACTGCCCGAGCTTCGACTTCCCGCCGAGTGCGGCTGCAGGTGCTCAGGCGCACCGTGGCGACGCCGATGGCACCAGCTCGCTCCTCAGCGTGCAGTCGCGCCGTCGCTCCGTCCGAGCCCCGACCGAAGGCTCGCCTGCGACGCCGTGCTTCAGATCCAAGGCGGCGCCCACCGTGACTGACAAGAAGAAGAAGCTCAGAGTGAGTGACGGCGCCGTCGATGCGGGCAGGAAGCTCTTGGAGGAGGTCAAGGAGAATTGGACGTGCGATATTCTTTGGAACAAGAAGTACAGGGCCAGAGACTTCGAGAACCTTTTGACCATGATTTCGGCGAAGGCCTCGAAGGTATCGACGGTCATGGGCGACGAGTCTGCCGCGTCCATCGCCGAGGACCTCTTCCAGGCGAGCGTGGACCTCGAGGAGTCGCGGGCTTTCGTCGCCAAGTTGAGGGATTCGCCAGAGCAGGTGGTCGACGACATTGGGAAAAGGGGCGCCTCCTTCATCAAGAACGTGGACGACCCCACGAAGGCGAACATCTTGTCCACGACGATGTTCGCGCTGCTCGGCAGCAAGTCCGTGGAGACCCAAGCGCTCGGAGTTCGGCTAGCTCGATTCCGCGATGATCCAGGTGCCCTCTCGATTGCGATCCTGCGCGATGCGCCCGCGGAGTTCCAGACGACTTGCCAACATAATCCCGTGCAGGCGTTCACGGACAAGCTCATCAAGAAGGGTTCGCAGCAGGAGTTCATGGACGTCATGAAGGCAGCCGATGCCACCATCGGCCCGTGCGACATGGACAGCATCGACCCCAGCATCCCGCAGATCGATCCAAGCACTGGTTGGGCCCCCATCGGCGTTGGCGGACTTGCACGCGATTCGGTACTTTAGCCACTTGGCAGCCACTGACTCGAAGGATAAGCTCCCGCGGTCGCTCAAGAATCTTGGAACCCAGCTGACCAACAACAAGGATAAGTTGAGCAGCCGCCTCCGCGTGTGCATGCGCGTGAGCGCAGGCACCGTGAACTGGGCTAAAGCAGGCCGGGATCGCTTGTCATCGGCGTCGGGTGCGGGAGAGGCCAACGTCACCACTTTCGGAGATGATGCGTTCAAGTCCGTGAGCGCGTTCGTCGCGTGCATCAGCGACATGTGCCACAGGTGCGATAATCAAGAAGGGCCTGTTGCCGTCTGGGCGCTCCTGTCGGGGTACATGTCCGACGACGCGGTCATGGAGAACATCCAGGCGCTAGCGAAGTACATCGACGGCCTCGACGACACTGGCGAGACCAAGGATGGCGATGACAAGATCCTGGCGCTCAAAGACCGCGTGAGATATATATTGTATGAGTCAATTGGCATGGCGATGGGCTTCTTCAACTACTTCTCCATGGACATCGACGGGATCTATACTGGCAACGAGGGCTTCGAAGATGCCGACGCCGACGCCGACGCCGGTCCATTCAGGGTGCTGTCCAAGCTCGCGTGGGTCATCTTGTTGTTCGATGTCCCCCCCGCGGAGCGGAACACGATCAAGGAGATGAAGAGTCGGTGCGATCTCATTGTTTCGGCGAACGAGGTCAAGATCCAGAGCGCATCCAAGCCTATGGAGAGCGGCATCGTGATGTGGAGCGAGGTCTGGCAGCAGGAGTCATCCATCTCATGTTCGCCACGTTTGCCTGAAGCCTCGCGCGGTGCGTTGCCCTTCCAGGAGTTCAATGACCGCATGGCTTGCCGCCCAGTCAGTCGGCCGATCGTGGACTACGTGACGCGCGCCGCTGCCTCGGACGGTTGTTCCAAGATGACCCCGAAGTTCGTGCAGGTCGCAGTGGATCTCAAGCACGTACTGCCCGTCGACGTCCAGACTCACGTCACGGCGTGCCAAGCCTACAACTTGATCAAGGGCGCGGCCTCATCTGCCCTGGTCGGCAAAATGATCGGCTGCATGCAGGCGACTTCCGTCTTGAAGAGCTTCGAGGGTCTGCGCAGACCGATCGCCGACAAAGCAGAGGTGGGCGAGTGGCGTGAGGTGATCATCAAGGAGTGGGGCGCTCGCTTCGCTGAGTTGCTCAAGAAGCTGGACTGCGAGCCAGCGCAGAAGTTCGTGGACAAGTACGGCCCCGCGGGTGAGGACATCATGTCGGCGATCAGCGCCTGGACGTTCCACGAGGCAGGTAGCCCGAAGACGTGGCTGGCCTCTTCGGCGAGGGACTTGGCGCGGGAGCAGCAGTTCAAAGCGGTGGAATTCTTCGTGTCCTCGCTGCCCACGTCCGAGCGCACCGTCGAGGAGCTCAAGATGGCGAAGTCGTCATTGACGTGGATGAGCCCCCTGCAGGCCGCCCAACTGGACGAGCTGGTCACCGCCGTTCCCGTGGCCAAAGACTTGGCCAAGACGGCCACCCTCATCATGGCCAGCTGCGTGATGACGAACAGCATCCTCACGAAGATCGGCAAGGCCGAGACGAAACGCTACGTGCTGGAGAAGCTCGCGGTCAGGAAGGCCGACCTCCCCGAGAAGCTGGTGGCCGCGATGGGCGCCTCGCCCGAGGAGTCGTCCGCGTGCGCCGACGCCGGCGCGGCGCCAGGTGCCGCGTCGGAGCCCGCCCCGTCGCTCGATGGCGCGGCCGCGCCGAAGCCCAAGGGGTCATTCAAGGCCCCCAAGTTGCCGCCAAAGAAGGCCGAATGAGGGGTTCATTCGCGCCGCTGCCAGCTCGGAGGAGGAGTAGGAGGAGGAGGGGGAGGAGGAGGAGGAGGAGGATAACATACACACATACACTCATACACACATACACATACACACATACACACATACACACATAAACACATACACACATACACACACATACACACATACACATACATACACATACACGGAGGAAATATGACGAAATGGAGGAGGAGGAGGAGGAGGGGGAGGGAGGATGAGGAAGACGGAGGAAGACAGCGAGGAGCGAGGAAAGAGGCCGAGGGGCGATGAACGATGACGAGGAGGAGGAGGAGGACGCGGAGGAGGAGGAGGACGGGAGATGAGAGACCGAGGATCGAGGAACTCACGCAGTCCACAGGATGATGATGATGATGATGATGATGATGATGATGAGGAGGAGGAGGAGGAGGAGGAGGAGGAGGAGTTGGAGGAGGAGGAGGAGGAGAGGGAGGAGGGGGACGGGAGGAGAGGGAGGAGGAGGAGGAGGAGGAGGAGGAGGAGGGGGAAGATGGCAGAAGAGACCGAGGAGAGAGCGAGGAGGGATTCCCGAGCTGGCCGCAACAGTCTTAGTTGATAGTTGGCCTGCGGCTGCAGGCGCGAGAGGGCGCGCCCGCTGACGGGGCGCGACTCGCCCGATCGACTATCGAGGGGAGTGGTCGAGACACGTCCCCCGTCTCCCCGTCGATTTCTTCGCCCCCATCTTCCTTATCCCCCTCGCCCTCCCTCCCCAGCATCTCGCTTGATCATCCCTCGGTCTCTCCGCCCCGTCGCCATCGCCCGCGACCTCGCTTCATCTTATGTCCTCCCGTGCCCGTGCCCTCATCATCATCCCCTCGTTCTCCCCTCGCACCCGCTCCCTTCTCCCCCCCGTGCCCGCCCTCGTCCTCTCCCGATGTGTCCTCTTGCAAGTGCGATGCCGTTCATTCCGCCGCCCCCCGTCCTCCATCCACCCTGCCTCCGCTACTCTATGCCATTCCCCTCCTCCTCCTCCTCCTCCTCCTCCTCCTCCTCCTCTTCCTCCCTCCTGCTCCTTCTTGTGCTCCTCCTCCTCCATCTATTCCTCCTCCTCTGCCCCCTCCCCCCCCTCCCATAATTATTGTCATGTCGCCTCCCCTACCGCGCCCCCCCCCCCCCCCCTTGTTGCGTTTGCAGTGTAATACTTCACGTAGAATGTATATCTCCCGTAGGCGATGTAGGAGTAGCGGTTGTTAAACATACAATTAAAATACACAAAATCAACGAACCCATTATATGCATGAATCGTTTACGGCAGCTGCTGAGGCAGCGCCCGTGGCAGCACCTATGGCTATTTAATTGTTGTGAACACATTTGTCTTTCAAGTACTGCTGAAGTCCGCTGTGTTGCTCGCGATGGTGCCAAGGAAGTCCATCATGTTCCCTCCCGATCGTGCCGCGGGAGTCTGTCATGCAGCTCACGGTCGTGCTGCTGGAGTCCGTCGCGTTTCTTAAAAAAGGTGTTGTTGGAGTCCGTCGCGTTGCTCACGACGGTACTTCTGGGGTCCGCAGTGCTGCTCACGGCCGTGCTGCTGGAGTCCGTCGTGCTGCTCCCGATGCTGCTGAGGTCCATCATATGATGCTCATGGCTGCGTTGCTGGGGTCCGTCGTGCTGCGCACCGGCGCTCAGCTGCGGTCCGTCGTGCTGCTCACGATGGTGCTGCTGGAGTCCGTCATGCTGCATGCGATCGTGCCGCCGGAGACCGTCATGTTGCTCTCGATCATGTTGCTGGAGCTCGTCATGCTGCTCACGATGGTGCTGCCAGGTCCCGTCATGCAGTTGACGGTCGTGCTCATGGAATCGGTAATATTGTTCACGATGGTGATGATGAGGTCCTCCATATTGCTGACGGTCGTGCTGATGGAGTTCGTAATGCAGTTCACGATGGTGTTGCTGGAGTCCGCCATGTTGTACGCGATGGTGCCGCTGGAGGCCGTCATGCTGATCACGATCGTGCTGCTGGAGTCTGTCGTTCTGCTCACGATGGTGCTGCCGTGGTCCGTCATGCTGCTTACCATCGCACTATTGGAGTCCGTCTTGCTGCTCACGATGTTTCCGCTGGAGTCCACGATGATGCTGCTGGCGCCCGTCGTGCAGCTCACGGTGGCGCTGGGGATCGTCATGCTGCTTACACCCGTGCTGCTGGAGTCCGTCGTGCTGCTCCCGATGCTGCTGGTGAAGCCCATCATGCTGCTCACGTGCTCACGGCCGGGTTGCTGGATTCCGTCGTGTTGTTCACGGACGCACTGCTTGGGTCCGTCGTGCTGCTCACGACGGTGCTGCTGGAGCTGCTGTAGCCATTCATGCTGCTTTCGATGATGCTGCTGAAGTGCGTCATGCTGCTGACGGTTTCTAGGTTGTTCTCCGCGCCGGCGGCTATGTTTCGGTCGCTCGGTGTCCTCGTGGCTCATGTGAGCGGCGGCGTTGACGTGGTTGTGGCTCTTGGTCGCGGGCTCCGCGGCCGCCGTCGCTGGGCTGGGCGCTGCGCTGGTCGCTGCCATTGGCAGGCCGGCGCCCTCCTCCACCACCTGCGCGTTTTCTGTCACCCCTCCCCCTCCCTGTCTCCCGTCCCCAGCCTAGTTCGTAGCTTCTTTTTTTTTTTTTGCAAGAATTGTGGATCTGTTCTGGGGCCGACGAGGATACGGCAAGTCCGCGACAGGCTGCTCATATTGTTCATGTTCCTGCTCCTCACAGGTTGCCTCCCAGTGGCCTGGTGGTCCCCGCCCCTTGACGATAGAAACTATGGGTTAAATAACGCCGAGCACTACTTTATTTAATGAGCTTCTATATGTTCAGTTGAACCTGGACGTTGAAACGAAGCAGGCGCACCCCGCCCGCAAATTGCCTTTCGCTCATCATTTCCCCCGCCTTGTCACTTTGCGGTCCTGCGCGCCTTGCGTCTCTTCGTTGAGAACAGAATCACAAGACAGCTCGCCGCTTGGGCCCCACCGCCAGCACAAACGGCGAGCATAAATCGGGCGCAGCCCCGTACGCATTCGAAAGCCCACAGTTCGTCCTGGTATCACTGGTATTTCTCCCCGTCCTCCTCTCCATCCTGATCGTCGTCCTCCTCGTCCTCCTTCTCAGCCTCCTCGTCTTCCTGCTCCTGCTCCTGCTCCTCCTCGTCGTCCTCGTCAAAGAACCTCGTCCGCGTTTCTCCTCCTCCTGCGCATCCTCCTTTTCCTGGCACCTCGCCGGCCGAAAATAATTCTGTCTCCGATCGTTTGCGCCGTACGTTGCGCCATCGTCGGTTGAGAGTAAAACCGTATCCTATCGGTTGCGCCATAGGTTGCGCCCTCGGCGGCCGAATATGAAATCGTCTCCTATCGGTTGCGCCATAGGTTGCGCCCTCGGCGGCCGAGCCGAGAACATAACAGTCCCCTTTCGGTTGCGCCATAGGTTGCACCTTCGGCGGCCGAATAAATCCGGCCTCCGATCGGTTGCGCCATAGGTTGGCTGCGCCCTTGGCGGCCGAGAACAAAACCGTCGCGTAACGGGTGCGACCAGTTTGCTCAGTTCAGGTCAGTTCAGTTCAGTTCAGCGCAGTTCAGTTCAGTCAGTTTACTTCGCGATAAGCAGATTCGGCGACGCCCGAAATAATCCGTTACCTTGATACCACGTCGATAATTTTTCCTCACTTAGGTTCCCGTCTTCGCATTCGGGGTAATACATATGCGTTGTTTGGTCTGAAATGTTTTTACAGACCCTTTATCCCTAATGTTTCTGGCGCTCCTAGCTTAGGCCCCTTCCCGAAAGGATGGGGGTATTTTTATTGCTTATCATCTCCCATGGTCTGTCCTGTCTGATTGTCCCCGTTTCATCTCTTCTCCCCGCATTTGTTAGCCTGGCGGCGTCCCGCTCCCCCCTTCTCCTGCTTCCCGCCCCGTCGTTCTGCTCCCCGTCCCCCTCCTGCCCTCCTGCCTGCGATGCGTTCCTTCCGTGCCCCTTGGCCGTTGCATGGGGGGGGGGGATCCCTGCAGCCTTGAGGAGGGGGGCGGGGGTAGGGGGAAGGGGGGTGGTCTAGGAGTGGGGCATGCACCGCCCTCTGCCGCCCCTCTGCATTTGCGCCCGCGCGGCGCTGGCGGTTCCAAAAAGCTCCAGGACCGCCCCAGCGGCGCCTAGGAACCGAGGGGGTGGGGGAGGGCGGGAGCTGCTTGCACCAGTGAGCCTGCTGCTCGAGCGACAGGATGACAGCCTCGGCGGAGGTGTCCTGGACGCTCAGGGGTGCGGCTATCATTCGAGCAGCGCCTTCAACCGTCCCGAGCATATGCCTGGGGAGGGGGCTCGAGGCTAACTACGCCACCGGCCCCTATCCCCCCGAAGTGTTCTGTTTTTGGGACTCGCCCCGCTGTCGGGGCGCCACGTCCAGGTCCAGGGGAGGGGGTAGGTGAAGGGGTCAAGCTTCCCACCCGCCCACAAGCCGTCTTGCTCACTCCCACCCGCCCTCCCAACACATACTTAACACCCGAGAGTCAGCATATCTTGCAAGAGCGCCGCAGACGCCACGGGTTTAAGATGCAGCAGATCCTGGAAGCCCAAGCGTGTCAGGCGCGCCAGGTGCGGCACGTGCTCACGTGCACCCAGTGTTCCACGTGCTCCAGCCGCGCCAGGTGCGCAAGCCACTGGAAACCAATAGGGGCTCGTGGGCTTGGCTTTGAGCTGTCCTGGCCAATTTTGGAGCCATGTGGAGGTTCCGAAATCCCATCGGGAACGGTAAGGCGAAAAGGCAGCAGCCACTGATGTGTCAAACCAGTCGGTCGTCCACCTGCGCCCAGAAGGCAGGGTGGATCTGCTGGCGCCCCAGCGGTCCTTGTAAAATGCCAACCCTGCGCGCAGCAGGCACTATACTGACACCCCCGTCGTCCCTGTCAAAAGCTATACACAGTGCTCGCGGGCTTCACGAACATGATTCAAGACTTCTGCCCCAAAGTGTATTTTGACTTGTGTTTTGACAGGGATGGTGGGGGGGACGCATCGGGTTGGCCGCGCATGCTCCAAATGTGGAGGTAGAGTGCGTTTTGTATCGTTTTCGCACTGGGATGGTGGCGGGGTCCTCATGGTTCTTGGTTGGCCGCCGGTCGCCTGGAAGAGGACTGGGAATAGTGATTGAGGCCCCCTCCAGATAGCAAGCCGTCTAGTAAATATGCTCCTTTCCGCCTCATCTTCATGCTGCTTATCATATCGCTTGTCTTGCTGCGCACTGTATGAGTGTGATTGCGGTAACCTTCCGCAGCCGCGTGTGCTTACAGGAGATAAAAAGGAGCGTGCTGGCTCGCACGCGCGCGCCGAGGGGTCGCTCCCTCGTCGTAGTCGTGTCGTCGGCCGGCCGGCCTCCTCGTTTACTATTCCTGATAGAGCGCAGTTGTTTACCGGTTACTTGTCTTATCGATGTCTCATCCCGTACCCTCCTCCACTGAGCAGAGTGAACATGAGACCTTAATTCGTTTGTCATTTTACCCCGATTCTCAGAGGAAAGACTGGTTATCAAACGGAACCCGCGACATAGTAGCCACGGGTATGAGTTATGACGAGACAGATAAAATGTCCATCGCTTCGCGAAACGCTGAACAGAAATTTGTACAACGCGACGGACATGAATTACAGGAGATCGGCCCGGGGCAGGGCCGCCTTCCCTCGTCTAGTATTGCGTCCCGGGTCTCTCAGGGTAGAAGTAGTGGGGAAGTTGTTGGTTTGTCGGAAGATGACTATCCCTCTAGAGTTCCGATCGGTGATCGCGAACAAACCCCAGACCCGCAGAGACGGAATGGCATAACAGCAAGATCCAGACGAGGAACATTCTCGTCCTTAATCGCCGAATCATCGGAGACGATAAGTCCTATTCCGATTGCTACACAGACAATCATGCCGGCCGCTGGCCAAGCCAGTGGGTCGGGAGAAGCCCGCGAGACCACAGGCGTGTATCCCAACGTCCCAGACGGATGGGGAGGCACGAGTGGAACTCTTCCCATCCCAATAGCATTGAACGGACAGTTCGGCCAAGATAGTGACGAGCCACTTGATAGCGAGCATGAGATAAACTCCACGGAGGAAGTCTTTGAATGCGCCAACAAAGGGGTTCCTTTGAGCCGCGAGTTGTCTTCGATAATGGATGCAGACCACCCCGCTCAAGGCGAGAGGTGGTCCCCAGATGGTTCAGATGTTGATGCAAGTGGCCTGGCGCCTCAGGCGGTCAAGGTTGATATCGAACACCCATCTCAGGTGAAGCGCGATAGGGAGCCCACAGGACGGACTCCCGCACCTCAACTTAAGAAGCAGAGGAACGAGGATTATGATTTGAACGATTCACCGCTTCAGGAAGGATTCTATCGTTCTGCCGTTGCCTCAAGCGATTGGCAACCCTCGATACCGGCCGTGGTTGAGGATGAAGAAATTGTTGAACATCCAGCTTCGCATACTGAGCTAATAAGACAGGATGAAAGGGATGAGGAGCTTCGAGAGGTGTCAAAGCCGCCAGAAAATGCGTGCGCACGTCCTAGATCGAACGCTTCGAGTAGGGGAAGAGACCCAACATACCAGGATCAGGAGCTCGGTCTGCTTCAAGGAGCAACAGTACCATATCCATGCTTGATGCATGCAGGAACTGGGGCCCCGACTGCACGCCGCAGGCGGAGAGCAGATGCCCGTGGAAAGCCCACAAGCCAGATGGAGCTTGTGGGCGCCCAGCGTGTAAGAATTGCTCGGATGTGTGCCCCAATTGTAGCAATCAATGGTTGTGTATAGATTGTCTCCCCATGAGTGGGCATAATTGCACATTTCTTCTCATGCGAGCCATGCAGGATCAGGCTAGATTTGTTGAAGCTACGACTCAGCAGGAGTTCCTGGCGCGCGAAGCGCAGAGGGCCGAGAAAGCCCGACTTGATCGAGAAGAAATGACCGCAACCAGTGAGGATGTTCGGAAGACGTTCGAGGCTGAGAGACTTGCCCTGGCCAAGGCTGCCAGAGGGCGGGAACAGGAGTTGGCGGGGCAAGTGCGCCATCAAACCGCGGTCGCTAAGCGGCAAGCGGAGGAAGAAGCCAAGAACCGTTACGCCGAGATGATGGCTTCCGAACGACAGGCCGTCGCAACGGCGATTTGTCAATCTGTTGATGCCAAGACCGTTTCCGCTGCCGTTGCAGCGGCAAGAGTAGAAGGGTGGGGCAATTGCTGCAGCCAGGGCAGAACAAGAGATGCAGGAGC